GGAAAGAGAGATAAGCACCTTCCTGAGCACTTGCACTTACCCGGCATGGACTATTTAACATGGACTGCTTTTCCCTTCTCAGTTGCCAGGACTGCTCACTGCACACTGGCTCTCGGGAGCATTTCCCAAGTCCCCATGACATGAGCAAGCACCATAAAGCAGAAATTCCCACATCCACAACTCCAGGACATAGCTTTCCCTGAGCACCCATGCTATATATCCTTTCTACTGTGCTAATATAGCCTGGTGTCCCTAGGCGAACAAATTCCAACATATGTACAACTGAGATCGAGCACTCTCTCCCTCCTTCACATTCCCTCATTGGCTTCTTTTCCTATATTATTAGCCAGCAGGCTGACCTCCTCTGGTCTGTGAGCCCCTGGAAAACAATGGCTATTTCTCATTGTCTGTTCCCCAGGACCTGGCAGAGTAAGCAGTACCCAATCAGAGCTCACTCCGAACTGCTGAACTAATGAAGATTTAAAAGCTTTCGTGAAGCTGGCAATGAAACACAAAAAAAAATAAAAAATGAATTAAAAATTTTCTTTCTTTTCCTCAGTAAATGAAGTTGAAAACATAATGACAATATAGCACTTAATGACCCCTCGTAGTTGCATGCTCATCTTCTTTCTGTAGGTAACTCATTAAAAACCCAGAGTGTTTTTGGCACTGGGAAAACATGATTAAACCATTTAAGAGCTATAAATAACTCTAAATTTTGTCTTATAACATGTAGCTGGGGGAAGGGTTATCTTAGGAAGTACGTAACACCACTGTTGTCTTCTTGAGAACTCTACTGTGTTCACCTGTGAGCTCCTAAACTATGTGGTCAACAGATTCTGTCCCCTATGGATTTACTTATCTGCCAAGTAAAGCCAGCTCTAGCTGTCTCCCTAGGAAACCCCTGCAAGTGGACAGTCCAGATGTGTTGTTTTACTTATTTATGCACAGGACAAATATTTCATGGGCAACTAGTATATGCCCCACATTTTGTGGGCTGGTAATAGCATAGCAGTGAGCAAGATGGACAAGGTCCTTGCTGTGGTGAAGATTAGTACCTGGCAGAGGTGACTGCAAATTACTAAGAAAAACACAGATATGCAAAGTGATGTGAAAGAGGTAAACAGGGTAGTGAGCACCCTCAGGAGCTGACCACACAGCACAGTAGCTAAGACATAGTGACTATATGGGACAGTGACTCCTGGTCACACCACCCCTACATGGAAAGTGCCTTAATAAATGTCAGACAAATGGCTAAGGTTGTTAGTAGCCTCATTCTCAGAAGGTAAAATCAACCACTGTAACACATATCCAAGAATCTTCTAGTATCCTCCTTTCAAGAGATCTCTTCCTTGGTATCTCTTTGCCTGTCTCACCATTGACAGGTGGTCTAATTAATCCTGGTCCTTTCTCCACTCCTGAGGTTCTGTCTCACATAATCCTGTCTCCTTAACCATTTTGAATCTTCAGCTTTTCAAGGGAGTCTACTCCAATGTTCAAATAAGTTCTGTCCTTCATTTAAACATGTATTTTCTTTAAAAGTCTAGTTCTGCTTTATCCTTCTATTTGACTTGCCCAAGGTCACCATTAAACTTCTAGAGTTAGGGTCAAGTGAAAGAAAAAGTAAAGGCAGAAAGAAAAGAGTGTAGAATATACTGCTTTAGAGGAATAATGTTGCCCAGCTAAAGGACATATTCTATAATCATCAGGAAGCCCAAGCCAAGGAACACAGACACACACACACACACACACACACACACACACACACACACACACTACCATGCACTGTGAAATCTAGGGTAAATAAGGAGGCTTCTCTGAGCAATGGCAAAGAGAACAGACACACACACACACACACACACACACACACACACACACACACACTACCATGCACTGTGAAATCTAGGGTAAATAAGGAGGCTTCTCTGAGCAATGGAAGATGGGAAAAGTAGCCAATATGTTCTTCTGAACATACTGGGACAACATGAACATGAACAAACATGTTCTCCAGAACATATTTGTGGGTCAGAGGAGCTCACCTGTACAGATACATAATCAGGTGCCAGGCCATACCAAAGGCAAGGCAGGACTATGATGCTCAAGACAAGAGTCTGTCCCTCAACAACTGTAAGAACAGTTTTTCTGTCTGGGAAGCCAAGGGATATCATTATTAATTGGCATATTTTAAGCCATTCTCACTAAAATATCACCTTCATGCCATTAATATTCATTTCAAATGCCCACTAGCTATGAAAGAATAGCAATTAGTTAATAATGTGCATTATTAATATCAATAGTAATTGACCTTCATGGAGTATTATAATATGCACTTTTACGCATCATTGTATTCAACCCCACAGTGAGCCTCCGGTTAGTTTTTATCATCCCCATTCTACAGACTAGGTAAGTGAAGTTTGTATGGGGTGAACACACACGTGCCAGGCAGCAGTACCTAGGGCGATACCTTTGTAAAAAATACACACACACATCAAAATATATACAAACACACATATTATAAACATCCTCCTTTGGAACTCCAGAGAAATACTTTTTTTCACCATAAACAACTGGAGGAAAAAAAATATAAAATAATAAATAATACTGTTTCCTGGTAATCGCAAACATCAGTGCCAATTAAGCAAGTTTCCAAATGTTTTCTGAAAAAAGTTAGACACGCAATCCTCCTATTGCTCATATACCTGGTTTTTCAAAGGCCCAAGGAAACCTAGATTTTCCGCCATCCGCTGAGCTTGACTGTCCTTCAGACCTTCAAAAATGTCAATTTGCTCCTAGAGGGAAAAAAAAAAAATCAAATAAACAAAACTAAGACAGTCAAGCCAGAAGATTTACAACCTCAAAGAAAATGCTTAGTACTTATTTGCAAATGAGTAATTAAAGTGTGGCACCTTTCCAGAGATCTCTGAGCAGGGCTACTGCAGCTGCCTATAGGGTATGTTTTAATTAGCAGACCATCTATGAAACAATCCTTCCAAAAACTATATAATTCTTCAAGGTGGCATGCTGACAAGACAATCTGATGCTGGTTTTCACTTTTAATTACTATACAGATGGCACTGACGAATATTTAGTCAGTTAATTTTTATGACATCTTTTGGAAGGCTTCCAAAGTAAGGTTTTCCTGTCTAATATTGCTATTGAGTTTAGAGCTTGTCATACATAGGTTAAATATTACCTTATGATTTAAACACTCAATTGATGATGATAATTATTTATAATACCTTTGTTCTACAACATGCCATTCTCTCAAAGACACTGCATGCTATTCATATATATTTCATGTATTCTCTTAACAAACGGAATGGCATCTCTTAAATAATGTTAACTTTGAAAATGGTTAGGTATTACTAGTAAGTCTGTTTGTAAAGATGCAATTTAACTTCCAAGGCAATTAACTTATATATGTAACACTAATAAAAACATACTATTTTTTTGAGAGGTTTTTTTTTTCGCTATAGGGCGCACGCGCTCGCCAGACCGAAAGAGAGAGACATAGAGACAGAAAGCGAGAAATCACCCCCTAGAGGGGATGGTCATGCCGCAATCCCTTCTCCTCCATTCTCCTCTCGGGATCTTGGGCATGCACACACACGTGCCCGGCGTGAGTTTTAAGCCATCGGGTCCGGGACACGAACCGCGGTCGACTACATGGGAGTCCAGCGACATAGCCATTACGCTAACTGCTGGTTCCCAAAACATACTATTTTAAAACAAATCAGCAGACTATGAACATACTTTCTAGACAGCTATGAAAACAAATTAAACTCCCTGGGCCTGGTAGGTGTCATGGTGGTGAAGGGTGCAGGACTTCCACATGGTCAACCCTGGTTCGTGTCCCAAACCCGGCGGCTTGCTTTCTCACTTTCCCTCTCTCTTTGTCTCACTCTGTTCCCCTCTGGTCAAATTTAAATAAATAAAAAGTTAAATAACATAATTCTTAAAAAAATTAAACTCCCATTTTTGAAATTTTCTAAAAGAAATAATGAACGTTTCTGCTAAAAATGTTTGATGTCATTTTTGATAGTAAGAACCCAGATTAGGGCCAGTAGTGTTTAAAGTGGTTGGCTCCCACATGGCCACTGTGTGCTTTAAGTCCAAGAACTGGGGGCTTGAAGAAAACATGCTGACTGTATGTGTGCACGCATGCATGTGTATGCCCAAAATCCCTATAGGAAGTAAAAATGGAGAAGGGACTGTAGTGTGACCATCCTCATGAGGAGTACTTTTTCACTTTCTCTTCCTCTCTTTCTCCAGCAAGTGCATGTACCCTCTGGCAAATAAAAAAAAAAACAACACGGTAGTTATAGTTCAAAAGTTCTAAAAACTACACACACACACACACACACACACACACACAGGAATACATAAATAGCTTTGGTGAGTAAGCTCTTTATCTACATAGTTTTGTTCAATCTTTATATTTCACAGCATAGAAATTATCTCATCTTCACTTTATGAATAAAAAAACGAGGCTGAGAGATTTTAAGAAATGTGCTAACTAGTTAGATTTGACTTCAGAACTCTTTGACTCTAATCTAACCTTAATATCAGTAAAATCGACAAGATTTCAAGGATTGAAACCTACTGACAGAATCTGGATCTTTGGAAACCAGCAGATGGCATAATGGTTATGTCGTTGGACTTCCATGTAGTCAACCATGGTTTGAGTCCCAGACCTGGCACCTTAAAACTCACACCAGACATGTGTGTGTGTGTGTGTGTGTGTGTGTGTGCCCAAAATCCTGAGAGGAAAATGAAGGAGAAAGGATTGCAGCATGGCCATCCCCCCAGGAGGATGATTTCTCACTTTCTGTCTCTCTGGGGAGTGCACACGCCCTATAGTAAAAATCTCTCTTAGGAAAAAAAAAAGAATCTAGATCTTTGAAAAACACTATTTTATATCAATAGTATTGAGAGGCCTCAAGACCTCAAGGTCTCTACTTAATTCCCATCTGGTCTCCTCAGAGAGAATGTCTGGATCACAGAGCTAATCAAGAGGAAATGGAAGTATCATAGTCCTTCCCTATTCGTTCATTCTTAGGGCACGCAGAATAAAGAAATGAAAAGGAAGAAAAGGCAGAAAGGAGGAGAGATGAAAGAAAGGGAAAAGCAAAAGTGAAAGTCCTTGCATTCTGAGTCTATACCTTAATTATACCTAACTTCAACTGGATACCAAGTGATAAATAGGACTCAACACCCTCATATCTCAAGATTTATTGCCCCCAGCCTTACACTCTACATTAAATATTTAACAGTTTCTACAATAACTGTTAACACAGGATAGCAAGAAATTCAAACTTACCTTAAAAATAAGTTCTGGATTCGAAGCTGCCACCTCTTCAATGTCAACACCCCCTTGGGGACTGCCCACTAGCACAGGGCCATTGCAGGACCTGTCCATCAAAATTGCCAAGTAGGTTTCTCTGGAAATGTCCAAGGCTTCAGCAACCATCACCTATCAGATTAGTGGGAAAACCAAATTAATTCAGCATCAAGTTGATTTCCACTTGTAAACCTATACAAACTTGTTACATAGATCAAACAGCTTCATTTCAGACTCCTCAAATCCAGCAAGCTGGCTTCGGAGAGTTGAGAGTTTTGCTCGCCTGGTGTACAATGACCCTTTTCATCTCCTTATTTCATCCTGCTAACTTGTTCGAGTGACAGGCATTTGGTCTGCCTCAGGAGTCTTCCCACTTTAATCTTTTTTTTCCTTCTTTGAGTAACTGTCACTTAGCAAAAACTCCAGGGAAGCAGTTGTTATTTTAATTTGAGATATTAAACAGTACATATATAATATTTCACTCATTATTCTCAGATTTCACTCATGGAAAAACCAATTTGATTGCCAAGGAAGAATTCTCTTACAGTATGTTTGAGGCTTCATCTGTTTGTCTAGTTCTGTCTCTTAGATCACTGTATTTTATGTCATTTTATGCTTTATTATCATTTACAAGCTTAATACTTGCTAGTTCAAAAATAATGCAAACCAACCAAAAGTACACAAATGAGAAAGTAAAAATAGCTCCCACGGGCACTATTCCTACCTCACACATCCTTTTGGCCCCAACAGTAATAGTAGTCATGAGCTCACCTGGACCCTTTGTGGCAATTAGAAAAAGGCACCCACCCTTTGTCTGGAAGGATGAATGTGATCACGTGCCAGAACCAAGACTGGGCAAGATGCAAGTGGAAGGAAGAGATTCATTCCTTCCTTACTACCTCAACCAGGTGTCTTTTTGTTCTGCAAAACTTCAATGGCACAAACCAGCTGACCAGCAAAACCCCTGACTAATTAGTCAATCCCTTTTGTGTATCTGCCAGCATCACAATAATGAAATCATCCTACATATGAAAGCTAATTATACATACTGTGACACCTTCTTTTTTCTTTGAATCTTAATACAACAACTTGAACATCTTTCTAAAGTCTTTTCTTTATTTTGACTACATAGTACTTACATGTTAGTACTTATTTAGCCTTGTTCCTATTGACAGACATTAATGGGGACTCAATTTTTCTAAACTGCTACTTTAGTGATTATTTTTGTATATGTATCTTTGTTCATTTATTTCAGTATCCTAGTAAATAAGAATCCCAGGTGTGGGCTGGGTTTTTTAATCTGCATATTTAGAATTAGGAAAAGGACTGTCAAATTGACCTTGAGAGATGAAATGTATCAACTCATGCACTCAAAAAGAATGGAAAAAGATGTCTTGGATTATATTTAAAATAAAAATACTTCTCTAAGAAACCAGTAATAGAAGTAAAAATGAAAAAGAGATTTCTCTTGCTTTCTTTAAAACACTTTTTAGTAATAGATTTCATAAGTATCAGTAGATTTTAGATACTCAAATGCCATAAAAGTTGTTTTAGGTCACATGAAATAGGATAAGTATACAATCATCTAAAAAGTTATCAGGAAATGAACATAGAATTCGTTTTTTTGTTTTTGTTTTTTTTACAAATGTTTACTGACTATATCACCAGTTAAAAAGTGAAATTTCTTATAAGGATCTTCATACTGAATCTTTTCTTTTTTCTTTTTAGATCTTTGCCCCTGGGCATGTGCACTCACCAGAGAGGAGAGAGAGAGAGAGTGAATGGGAAAGTGAGAAATCACTCCCCAGGGGATATGGCCATGCCACAATCCTTTTCTTCCATTCTCCTCCTGCAATTTTGGGTATGCATGCACATGTGCCCTGCATGACTTCAAAACCATTAGGTCTGGGAATCAAACTGTAGTCAGTGATGTGGGGATCCAATGCCTTAAGCACTGTGCCACCTGCTGGTCCACATACTGGTTCTTTTATCATAAATGGAAGATCATGAGTATGTAAAAACTATTCTTAGCACATGTTAGAAATAACAGAACCATTTTGATTTCAAGTTGTTCTTTCCAGTAATGCAGGTCACTGAAGGTCAAACCAACAGCCAGTACCTAATTCTTTTGTCAACATTTGGGTTGCCTAAAACTCAGGAACTTTCCTCACAATTTTGAAGTGAGGGGTGAGAAAATATCTGAAGCAACAGCATTTAGTACTATTCTTTCCTTAATGAAAACAGTTAACAACTTACAGTTTAGGGAAATAACATGAAGTTTGTTTTTAAAAGCATCAACATCAACACATGTATTTTTCAAAAGAATTATTTACTCAATTTTTAATTTATTTTAGTTTTAACAGAGCTAAAGAGAGAGAGCAAGAGAGAGGAGGAGAAAGCAAGCCACCAGGTCCGGGACTGGAACTGTGGTCGGCCATGTGGGAATGTCCAGCGACTTAACCACTATACCACCTGCTGGCCCCCAATACATAAATTTTTAAGGAATTAAGATCATCATTCCTTTTAAAATAGTTAATAGTTAATAGGAGAGAAAGCGGTTTTAAGAAATTTTGGAGGGCTGACAAGTGGTGTGGTGGTTAAGGGCATTGGACTCCCACATGGCTGACCATGGTTCAAGTCCTGGCCCTGGTGGCTTGCTTTCTCACTTTCCCTTTCTTTCACTCTGTTCCTCCCTGATCAAATTAAAATAAAAAATAAAAATAGAGTTAAATGAAATAATTATTTTTTTAAAAAATTGATAGGTAGGCATAAGATTCAAAATGAGAAATAAGCTTGTATGCTTTCGGATTTACTAGTGTAACTACTATTCACTTTCTAATACAGAGTTAGTCTAGCAAATGATACTTAATAATTTTCAGTAGTTATTCTAAGAAGCAACACGACATCACAACATTTTAGGATAAGTGTCATTCAAGAGTCCTATTCTTAATCTCCTAAAATGTTGACAAATGCACTCTGTATTCCATCAAATTCTATTTGTAAAGGCTAGCTGCTGTCTCAAACAGCCCTTGCTTGGTAGCAGTAATGCCACTCTTTAAGAAAATGTCCCCTGGAAAGTGATGATTATCAAAGGGTAACCCAAGAAATTTTACACAATCACCAGTTTTGTTGACATTGTTATGCCATCATATGATCTAGGATGTCAGAATATTTTATGAATTTTTACAGAAAAACCTAAATGGACTCTACAAACATCCCAGGAAAGGTTCAGGTACATTTCAAAAGAGCTTCATCTATGAGTTACATAAAGAATATTACCAACACATCCTTTCTGTGGAGTTTTTCTATACAGAAAGCTTTTTAAACTACCTGAACACACTTCTCTCCCCCCCCAAAAAAAAAATATTGGGCTACTCAAATTGTGATCTATAGATGAATGCCAGTAAGCAAACCATTTGTAAATGGATTGTGAAGACAGAAGACTTAAAAGAATACTCTCGATTTCTGAGTTTATTATGAAGCAGTAACCATTATGAATCACATATCACATGAAAATTTACAGTCTCATATTCCCATCACTATCCCATGGAATACATAACACATTGGCGCAGATTTCGAAATCAAACACCTGCTGTGCACAAAGGTATGTATGAGTTTAAGCAGCTTCTCAAATAAACCTTAGAAATGTGGGGACTTCTGCTTTTGAGAAGATGGAGGAGACATACTTTTCCATATCCCTCCTGCTAACTACAAATAAAAACTTTGGATAGTAAGTAGACACAAAATTGAAGAGGACTGTGAAAGTGATAAAGAAGACAAACTAGGGAGCTTGGGGCCCAAGGAAGGACAAGGTGACAAGTGCCCTGTGCTTTATTTCTGCCTCATAAATCTCACACTGGTACTGAGAAGCCAGCAACCCAGAAACACAAGTGGGAACAAAGAAATATTTAGGTGTATATCTGACAAAACAAATACCAGACTTGTATGCTGAAAATTACATGAACTGATAGAGGAAGCCAAAGTAGACTAAACAAAAGGAGAGACATATCATATTCAAGGCTACAAGACTTAGAACAAAGATGCTAATTCTCTTCAAACTGACAATTCTTGTCAGAATCTCAGAAGTGACAAGAAGATTCCTCCATGGCTCCTGACAACTAGTGATTTCAGTGGAAAAAGAGAAATGAAGACTTTCTACTGATAATTCAGCCTCCAGCCTACAAACTCCAGTAGAGAGAGAGGTAAGGGGCAGGCCTTCAGAAGAAGATGCCTCCATGGCTCCTGAGAATTAGTGATTTCAGGGGAAAAAAAGAGAAATGAAGATTTTCCACTGATAATTCAGCCTCTACCGCACAAACTCGAGTGGTAGGGAGCCCCTCTAGCCTTCTCTCTGTCTCTGTCTCTCTCTGCATCTGTTTCCTTATTTTTTGGTAATTTTTCCTTTTTAAAACTTTTTAAGGTATTTTCTTGCTTACAGCCCCACCTTTATCTTGCTAATAATCCCCTTCCCCTCTCCCACCCAAGAGAGGCAAGGGGAAGGCATTCAGATGAAGATTCCTCCATGGCTCCTAAGAACTAGTGACTTTGTGTGGTGCACTCATGCACCATGCAGTTTTCTATTTTTTGTTTTCTTTTTTTAAAATTTTTTTTACTCATTTTTATTCCTTCTTTTGCTCTCCATTTCTTTGTTGTTGTTATTGTTTCTCCTCCTCTGTTTCCTCTTCTATCTCTTTTATCTCATCATTCTGGTCCTCAATCTCCATCACTGTGTCTCTAGATGGATCTAAGGGAACCATAGCCAAACATCCAAATACTATTAAGGTTAACATATTCCTCAAAATCCACTGAATCTGCTGCACAAAGGGATAAAAATGGTACAACAAAGAGATTCCAGATCACCTCCTTCTGCACACTCTGGAATGCTCAGATTGAACTTCAAGAATTAGGAAGAAACACACCATCCATTAGATGACTAGAAATGACCACAGGACCACAAGAAATATGGGAAAACAAGAAAATCTCTCTCCTCCAAGGGAAAAGAATAACTCCTCTTCATCCACAGACAGCTCAATGGAAATCATGGAAATGTCTGATAAAGAATTTAGAACATTCTTAATGACAAAGCTTACAGAGATGGAAGAGAAGAGAGACAATGAACTGCAGAAGAGGCA